ACAATGAATCATGGAACACTTCATCTAGAACTAATGATGTAATGTATGGGGATTAACATAAGAATAAAAAAAAAAAAGAGTGATAAGGTTTTACTCCAGATGCTCCTGACAAGTAAAAAGAAGAGATGATAACTAATATTTATTATTCTCCCAATTCATTTGAGTCTCTATGAAATTATTAGCTCGGTGGAAACACCTCAGCTAAAATGACACCCAACTCCCGTATCCTTTCATGTCCTGACTTTCCCTTTTGTTCCTTCATTGCCCTTATCGTATCTTTCAGATGTATACATTTATTAACTATTTTCTGTGTTCCTCACTAAAACATACACTGCAGGAGAGCAGGATTGTTGCCTGTGTGTGCTACTATATCTCTACTACCTAAGGGACATAATATAAGGCTAACAAATATTTGTGGATATGTGAAATAAGGACGAATACACTGAAGGTCTCATATGTTACATACTTTACAGACCATCTTATTTTTTGGAACTAGATGTCTGAAATACCATGAGATGATTAAGAGGTCGGTGTTGAATTGCTGAGACAATTCTGTTTGCATTTGTACAGAAAAAAATTTGTGTCTCTGTGCTTGTGTGTGTGTGTTTAATGAAAGTTGGGGGGAACTTTCAGGGGAAGGCACAGTTGGGCATGATTCTGGTGTAGTTCAAGGTACACTCCTTTCTAGGAAACTGTCCTGACAATGAGGCCACCACTATCTCATTCCCTGGCCACTAACTGAATGTTCTCAACAGGAAGGTAATGCTGGCTGAGTTTTATTTTAATCTAGTATGAAGCTATCTCTGGCTACAAAAAGTAGAGGCTCCAACTAGGCATTAACCCCTGAACTCTTAGACCCTCGACCAAGAAACTGCCTGGTGAAAAGGCACCGGGGTATACAGTACAGCAGGTCCAGGTGCAGAAACGGAGGGTCTGCATGGATCTGAGGGTTCAACCTCACATCCCACTTCTTCCTAGCTGTGGGACCCTCGGTCGTTTTCCTTGTTTCCAGGCCTCCACTCCTCCTCTGGAAAGTGGCAGTGCAGTGTCTTCTCACCGGGATGCTCTGAGTGCTAACTGGAATCTCACCTGAGGGTTGTGTGATGGCTAAAAATGGATTTTACCAGTGGAACTTAGGCTCATTTGGAATCAAAGAACAGTAAATCAGGTGATGGGACTTGTGACAGAGTGAAGTGAGCATTATTCAAAAGGGAGAAGGAAAATCATTTGGAAAACTTCAGATCCTGGAAAACAAAATTATTTTTGAAGTTTAACATCTTTTCCTTGCATTAAAAAAGCCAAATACCTGCACATTGTCATCAAAAATGGGGTCCTTTCAGGCCGACTCAAAGGCTCTCTCCTGTTGTCTGAGTTCAACTGTGGCCTCTCCTCACAAGCCGGTTTCGGAACCTCACAAAGCATCTCTGTTCCCGGGCTTCAGAAACACTGGATTTTGAGGAATTGGCTTTGAAAGAAATTAAGGCGACATTAAATTAACATGAACAGGAAGAGGGGTTTGGAGCATATTTTGTTGTACCACGTTAGCAGCTCCGGCGCGGTCCTTGGGGAGTCCCTCCCTGCCAGTGCAGGACAGAACAACATACAGCGTCCCCCAAGGTCTAGGGCGGTGGGAGACACGAGGCTCAAGCGGCCCCGGGGATGCGGAGAGGTATGGGGTATGGGATGGGGCATGGGGAAAGGGGTGCCCGGAGGCAGGCCCGCGTCAGGGGCTGCGCAACGCGGCCTGGGCCTCACGCAGGCCCCGCACTTAGGAGGACCCGCCTGCTGGACTGCTCTGCCATCACAGTCTTGAAATTATTCAACTGTGAACGGAGACTCACAATTTCATTTTCCTCTGGGTCCCGCAAATCACGCAGCCCGCACGACCCAGACGACACCAGGGAGCCCTCCAGCCTCCGCAAGAACCCACGGCTGAACCGCAACTGGCGGCCCTGGGGTCTCTGTTCCCATCTCCATTCCCGAGGACACAACCTACAGCTGTGGCCGGTCCCGTCCCAACCTTGCACAGGTCACGGCTACCCCGCCTGCCCCACCTGACGGCGCCCCGAGTCTCTCCCGGGCTAGCCGCGCCACCTGCAGCTGGGAGAACTCGCTGGTTTCCCGTGCGGCCGTGGGGGCGGGGCGTCGAGGGGGCGGGGCATTCAGGGGCAGGGTGCGGTCGGGGTAGGAGTCCTGCGACGCGGCGTCCAGGGGTCTGGGCGCCGTGCGGAGCGGGGCGTCGAAGGGGCGGGGTGCCGTCGGGGACAGGGCCTGCTCCGGCGAGCATGCTCTCAGGGTGCTGCGGGCCGCCTTGTTCTCCTTGACCCCGAAACCTGAGCGGCTCTCCTAACAGCTCTGGCTCCCTGAGTGCGCATGGTCAGCTCCCCGTCAGCCTCAGGGTCTCCGCCACCCCACACCAGCTGTCCTCCGACCCCTCCTGATAAGGCCTGGTTTCTGCACTCGGCCTCAGCAGAGAAAAGAAGTGCCAGTGACGCATTGTATGAAACTTCCTGAACTCTTCCTCCCAAGTGCGAACTCTCCATGAGGCGCCCCTCCGCTGCGCACACAGCCTCTAAAGCTGCCCCAGCGCCACAGCGAGGGTTCCCGTGCCCCCCGCCCCGCCCGACGCCCCCTGCCCACCTCCACCCCCGTGCCTCCCCGCCGGGGCGCATCCCTGCCCGGGCCCACCCCCGTACACCCCGGCCAGTCCAGCGCCCCCTGCCCACACCCACCCCTGTGGCCCCCGCCCCGCCGGGCGCACCCCGGCCCATGCCCAACCCCGTGCGTGAACCTGGGGTGTTGTACATTCTCAAACAGCGCACAGTTCAGTTTCTCGGAGAGAATCCAGCACCTTTTTTTAATTTCACTTAAGCGACAGTGTGTCCCCTTAAAAAAGAGGGAGCGAGGAGAGGAAGAAAGAGGGCGGGGAAGTCAGTCCCGGAGCGCCCCGGCCGCCTGCAGGATGGAGTCCCCGGGCCGCGCAGCCAGGGGCGACTTGCGCGGGCCCACAGCCCCATCTATGGGCTGAGCGCTGGAGCGACGGCCTTACCGGCACGCTCCCTTCTCAAGTCACCGGCGTCCTTCAAAGTCCAGGATTAGGAGGGGTGGGAAATCTGCGGGGCGTAGGATAGAAGAATGCAGTTAGGGACTTGCATATGAAAAGGATCCCTCTGGGTGCTCCTGGAAATTAGCCCTAGTGGTGCAGGGTAGAGGTGTGGATGTCCCCAGACACAAGTCAAATACTGCAGGTTGTTGTTTCCCTGCAAGAAAGCACTCCCCACCCCCAAGAGACTGGTGGTTGGCTAGAACTTCAGCTATTCTTCCCGCCCTGTGTCTTCCCCCATTCTTCCTGATCAACTCCCCATCTCATTTCACTGGAGCTTGAAATTCCATAACAAGCATTTTTTAATCTTTAAAGTTTAGCCCCAGTTAAAATACAAATGCCTGTGAACAGAGAGTATATTATGTTGGGGAAATAAAATATAAAAGAACATCTCCTAACCTAGAAAACCTCTCCACAAGGTAAAAGAGAAGGGAAACAATTTTATTATTGAATAATCATTAAGCCAGAATGTGATGCTCATTACAGGATAGTCTGCAAAGAGATTGCAGAGGCAGCAAGAAATCTCACCCTTCTACCTAGCCAGGCAGATGCATTCCATTACATACACGTGTTCAAGATAACCAGTAACTAGTCCTGGAGAGGATTTACAGCAATGTTTATCACGTACAGTTAATCCCAAATTTGCCCAGTAACTGTTATGACCATCTGTTTGCTAGTTGGCTTTGTCCAAAGGAAAAGTAAATTCCTATCTTTATGAAAGGAGGTAGTGTTGCAATTTGGAGTGAGGCAGTTACCGAAGTCAGGTCCCTACTGTCGCATAGAAACTGGGAGATAGGGGTGCTATCTTCCCTAATTGGTTACATTGGAAAGAGATGGTTCTCAGGTCCTTGAGAGAGGCATTCCTGGCAAGAGGTTTAGCTTTTAAAAAGATTTGCATGTACTTTTAAGGGATGGAGAAAGAACTTACAAGGTTTCTAAAGTAAATGCTCTAAGAAAAGGGAGTGGGCATGGAGTTTCATCCCTTATTTTCGACAGGGAGAAATAAGCCTCTTATAATTTGTATTTGCCCTTACAACTACTAGTCAATCACACTTTAACATGATCAAATTTTATAGGTAGCTGTCTGAGGGAAAGTTCTCATAAAGGTACAGACTGCATGCGAACCAAGGCGCTTGCTTCCCTGGGTACAAAGGGCTTTGCTGAAGCTGAGAGAGAAGAGCTAGGGGCCAACAGCTGAACACAGCTTCTGTTCCATCATTTTAACCTGTAACTTATTTCTGAAACTCATGTAAACTTCCAACTCCAGCCATCTGCCTGTCTTTCCACCAGTGCCTGAATACCCAAGCTTCTTTCTAAAAAACAATTAAGAGATTAGGCTAACAGATCCCAGAAGCTGCTCTGACTCAGTTTGCCAAGTGAGATCATTCTTTAAGTGGTGAGAGGCAAAATGACTCTGAGACACTACAAAGCCAAATAAGTGTATTTAGTGCCTTCTGCTCAGACGTCTGCTTCTGAGGATTGTTCCATGACGTGTCAGAAGACCAAGGCTCAAAGAAGATGCTCTCCTTTATACAATCATTAAATCACCAGTATGCCTTGGAAGTGATTGCATCTAGGCCTTTAGGTCCCTGAGATTTGCTAAAGGGGTGCATGGGCCGGAATTTCCCGTGTTACATGCTACAATTCTCTGGCATCGGGGAATTTGCAGTTGCCCTCCTAGACCCACATCCAAGCAACTGATATCCAAAATCGCCTTCAGGGGCAAACAGTGCCAACATCTAGTCTTTCCTTCAGCAAATGCTTCCTCCGGGCCTCCGATGTGCCAGGAAGTTCCTTCATCTTTGGGTACTGGAAATGAAGGAGATGCAGCCCCTACCTTCTGGGAACTCAAAATAAGCTCATACTCAAGGAGGGGTAGGGCTACACGTTATTAGTCAGGGAACTAACCACCAGCAACTGCAGGCTTTATTTATTTTACAGAGAGAGATAGAGCAAGCAGGGGGAGAGGGAGAGGGAGAAGGAGAGACAGAATCTCAAGCAGACCCCAAGTCAAGCATGGAACCTAATGAGGGGCTCCATCTCAAGACCCTGAGATCATGACCTGAGCCCAAATCAAGAGTCAGACGCTTAACCCACTGAGCCACCCAGGCACCCCGATGCCTGACACTTTTTAAAACTATGTTACATGTATTAACTTGTTCAATCCTCACAAACAATGAGAGGAATTATCAATTTCTGCAAATTTAGATGAGGCATAAAGAGGGTTAATATCAGGACCAAGATTAATCGCTAGTAAGTAGCAGAACTGAGATCTGGATCCAGACAGTCTGGCGGTGTGTGTGTACACACACACACACACTCACACACATACAATATACACCAAATCTCTCTATGAGCACAGTTGGATGTGTTCACAGCCATGTCCAAAGCCAACATAAAGTCGATACTCTGTTTCTATGCTTCACTAGTCCAACACTACAGTCCAATGACTGGCCACATTGAACAACTTGTTGATATACTTGGCTTTTAAATGGATTCCACAGATTGAAGTCATTTTACAGAAGAAAGAAGAATAAAAATTAAAAGAATTGAAAAAAAATCTGTGGTGCCTGAACATCCCAAAACTACTGAGTCATCCCCGTATCCAAATTAAGTGTTTGGATCTAAAAGCAAATAAAAAGTCAGTGAGTCTTTTTGCTGGCATTCCCAAGAACCTGCACATTTTTTTTGAGATCTGTCTGTTCTGCACCTGCCAAGTGAATTATTAAATTTATGAGGGTGAAGTGTGGCCAAAGCTACTGATCAGTGAAATTAGTTGCAAATGGGTGCAAGAGGTTCATTGCTGAGAACTCCAGCAAACGGAAACATCACTCAGAGCGTGCAGGGTTCTGCTGTGAAAACATTATAACGTCACATGCACTCAGATGCCTGGCTGCCAAAGGCTCAGGGGCGAGGTGACTTTATGAGCCTTATAAAATGTCCATACGTTGCTGGGCCAATTGCTCCTCAAACTCATAAGATTCGAGTTTAGAAGAAATCTGGCTCAACTCTGGAACTGGCCTTTGTTTATCAAGATGTTAAATCAAAACCTACTTTCTAGAGAATACCTTATTAAAACAGCTTTACACCAGGAAAGAAAACTTCTTTTTCTCTTTTCGGTACCTATATGGGATGACAGATGTCAAATAAACTTATTGTGGTAAGCATTCCACAGTATAAGTAAGTCAAATAATTATGCTGTGCACTTTGAACTTACACAGTCTGTCTGTGTAATGTCTGTCCATTACATCTCAATAAAACTGGAAAAAAATGAAATAGCTTTTATTTACCAGTTGAAAACTGACCTCCCGAACTTAAATGTGTCATTCTTAATTGGTTGTTCACAGCTTACATGAGTCATTTTCTTATTTTTCTATTTATTATTGAAGAGTTTCTAACCAAATGTAACTAATGTAACCAAAATGTAATTATAATGGATATGGTAAGTACTGGCAGAAGAAGGAGCTTCCCAGAAGTCTGTGGAGAGCTGTAAGCAAACACATTACTCATGGATGCCTGAGCATTGACTTGACTGTGTTCTCTGAGAACATGAGCCTATTGATGTCCTTCCTGTTCTAGCACCAGGAATGTTATAAATAGTCCTCTAAACAGAACCACATGGATTGGCCAGTAGGGTCTTTGGAAATAGAGAGGAAAACTCACAGGTTCAATAAGCAGTGATATACAATAACTGCATCCCAATTGATGATCAGCAATGTTCAAACTTGCCAGTATTTTTCCAGCTTATTGGCCTGGTAGAAGCATGTCCCAAACAAGATTTCATGACAGACCTGGCATCTCCCTTTGCTTCTGTGTCACTGACCCCTCTGGAATATGTGCTCAGCCCATCTAAGATCCAGAAAAAACAAACAAACAAAGCCAAAAAAACAAAACAAAAACATAAAACAAAAGCAAACAAACAAACAAACCAGTTCACTAACAAAAAGAGATCTTTGCTGAGTTAATTAGTCATCACTCTGCTATAATTATGGGCACAATCCCTAAGTTTATGGAGGAGGGGGATTTTTCTCAACCCTCAGCTAAGCCCAGGCTGCTGCCTCTCCATTATGAATCAACTTTCAAGCTTCATACAAAGGAAAAGGTGGCCCCTGAGTGGTCATTTTCTCTTTCTCTCTAGACTTTCTGCAAGGGTTAACACTTTCCTGACATGTTAGGAAGTTTCAAGTCACTTCTTCCTACATTCAGCTATTTAACATGAAATCTCTGCAGTGCACAGTGGGAACTGGGATACATTTTTAGAACTAGAAAGCTGCTATCGTTAAGATGAGATGTTCTAGAGTCACCTGTGTATATACACGGATGCTTTCATTGATAAAACAACAGTTAACAGCTGATGAATCTCATAATCCTACCAGATCAGTGTAAGGAGAGCTTGCCCTTCAGACCATAATACCTGAACATGGATTTTGATGTGCAGATCCCTGGTTTAACTTGAATTTAATTTTTTCCATGAAAAATACCATTTACTTTCCCCAAAAAAGAATCTCAAAATCCATGTGGCTAGGAAAGCTTTGTGACATTTACAGAGCTGCTAGTGTGAGAGTAACCGTGAAGTAACAAATACAGCAGAACGGCCAAAATCTTGGCTAACAAGCAAAATCTTAGGACAGATGGCATTACCTTTCATTAATTGAAATTAATGTGCAATTACAAGTGATAGAAGTGGAGTCGGAAGCCCTCTGACTAGAGCAAAGCAACAGGATGGATTGGCAGCCTCCCTCTCCCCCTTCCAGCCTCACCGCCAGTAAATCTTGCCACCTACGAAAAATCGGGCTCCTAAAAATTGAAGATGTGTGGTTTAATGGCATATGTTAAGATTTTCTGATTGTGTTATAAAAAATGATTTATTGAATTCTCATAAGTTTGAAATAAATAGACATGACCAGCCTGTCTAGAACTCTAATTTCTGAGTCGGCCTCCAACTATCTCATTGGTTCAAAACTTGCAGAATACTTGGGCTGAATCTATTCATAGAATGAGATCTGTAGA